AAGTGTGTGTTTTTTAATGTACTGGTCAAAACTGCCAATTCACCTAGCTAGTTTACAATAATAATTAACTATTCAAAAATTAGTTTCTCAAATTTGTATGTAGTTTAATAATTATGAAATAATTTTCTTTTAAGGATTAGGATTATTATAAACTCTTACTAGGTCCGATATCATAATTTAAAAAGGCGATCATGAAAATTTTAAAAAAATTATAATTTGAAATATTTTTTAAATGATTAGTTTTCACAAAATTTAAATAGAAGAAAATTCCGTCATAGGGATCAATTGTGACTTTCAACATGTTTAATGAAAAATAATCAAGGTCAAATCAAAATCTGATATACAACATTTATTTTCTTTACCTATTTTTCTGTTTGACTGAACTTAAAAATAAATAATTATCTCAAAAGAGAAAAGTTCCAACATTTTTAACATGTCAAATTAAAATTTTCTATGTAACATATACATCCTCTTCTCTTTATCTATGTTTTGGTTTGACTTAATTAATCTCTAATGATCTCGAAAGAAAAGGTTTCAAAATTAATATCTCAGTTCTTTCCCTTGATTAACTTGCAAGAGTTACAAGGAGGGAGAGAAAAAGGTCATATACGCACACAGTGAGGCGAGGAACCATTAATTAATTGAATTAATAATAATCAAAGGCTATTATTTTTTGATTATGGTATGTCTTCCCAAATGTTTCTGCATAATCTGGCGGGAATCTGTAGCATTACTCTCACCTTCTTCTACCCCCTTAACCTCTTCTCCTTCTTCTACTACGTATTGCTGCATCACCAAAACCGAAGCCGTCGTTCCAAAATCAGACGAAGCTAGTAAGTCTCCTATGGCGCCTAACTCTGGATACTAGCTCCAATCTGTTAGCCCATCTGTTAATGGAGAAACCCCCTGATCTTTCCCAACTATCAGCAGATCAAACCCTTTCTTCATCGCCCCTAACGCAAAAACTGTCTCTTCTACATTGTTCACAACTTTCTCCACATAAACCACTGATTCCATGTTTCTGGTTTTCTTTCTGAAATAACTCATGTACTCTTCGTTCTTCTCTTTCTCCTTCCCACTGTGTATGTTTAACTCGTCCTCATCGTCGGACGGTGGTTTTATGATGGCGGCGGCGCCGGCGATGAAGGGGGTCACCGTGAGAAAAGTCCTGGGCTGCTCAGACATCCACAGGGCGTAAGCTAGGGCTTCTCTGTCATGCGGCCCTCTGAAGAACAAGACGGCGACATGAAGAAAAGGGCAAGCTAATTGGTTTGAGCTTAATCTGGAGGAAGAATTGAAGCCCCTGTCGGCGAGGATTCCTATGGAGCAAGGAGAATGTTCCAGAAGCTTCTGGTTCACTATTCGCAAGGCTGGATTGGTGTCATCCATTTCTCCATCCACGGCTTGTTGTTTGTGGAAAGGGGTGAGGATGGCGCAAACCCTTTTGTCTTCTGCTAAACTGCATATATCTTGATGCATGGTGGAGTATGGGGACGCGGCGGTCAAAAAATTGATGGATACGTTGTCCACATTTTCCTCAAAGTTCTCAAAGGAGGAGATGATGTGGTCGGACTCTGGTGTTCCATTGACGCCGGAGTGGTGGTGGCCGGACTCACTAGTGGCCCAGACAGCGAGCATGGCGGAGACCCGGCCAGTGAGTTCGACGAGGTGGACGACGTGGACACAGAGAGGAGATTTCTTGGTGGGGTGGGAAGCTTCAAGAAGGTTGAGCATTGACTGAACATTTCTGGGATTGTGAACACATACCATGAACTTTCGTTCTGCGTCATGTCTTAAACCCTAGATTGTTCTCTTCTTGGTAGGAATGAACCTTCTTGTCGGCTTATAAATTGCTGTAACAATGGGTGCAATAAGACCTGTCATCACCACAGTAACAATCACCATCATCACAAATGATTCATCCCCCATGACCTGCATATATATATATAACACACAGACCGATAACAACGATTAAGATAATTAAATACTCCTCCGGTCCTAAATATAAGACCCCTTTTGTAGTGTAATTTACACTACAAAAGGGGTCTTATATTTAGAACTAGAGGGAATATTACAGATACAACCTAAGATGGTTGGAACTAATAGCTAGGTCTAAGGTTTGTGCATGTACCTTTAGGTCCTTTGCGATGTTAAGCACAGTGATTTCGATGAGGCCTTTAGTGTTCATGAGAAGGCCAGGAATGACACCATCACGAGCGGGAATGTGGAAGAAGAGAGAAACAAGGACAGTGCCCAAGACTTTGCCGGCACAAGCGAGAGGAATAACCAGTAAGCAACCAGCCCATTTGGTGATTCCATGGATCGCTGTGATGTTAGTCTTAAGGCCATTAATGGCGAAATACAGAGGCAAAAGGAGGCCTGACACAAAGTCCTCAAGCTTCTCTATAATGGCAACTCCGATAGGTCCACTTGGAATTGCTAAACCATAGAGATAAGCTCCTAAAATGGCATGTGTCCCTATCGCATCTGTGATGAAGCTTGAAACCATAACACCAGTCACAATCACACATATTTGGGAGTCAGTGAAGGATTCTACATCTAGGGTTCCACTTAAGAACCATGACATTGCTGGTCTGACAACGTAGAAAAATATAACAACATAAGCCATGCTTGAGAGGATCACCCAGAGGCAAGCCCATGGGTTACTAGCTTTGTTGGATCCGGCGAGGGCAATGGCAAGAACAAGGAGGATCCAGGCAATAACATCATTTATAAGGGCAGTTGATTGGGCAAGCCGGCCCAGGTCGGTGTTGAGAAGCTTGAAGTCGGCGAGGATGTGGGCGAGCACCGAGAAAGCGGTGGCGGAGAGGGCAACACCAAGGAAGAGAATGTTCGTTCCATGGCTCATAATTGGGTTATGGTTGTGGAAGAAGAAGGAGAAGCAAGCCCCAACAATGAAGGGCAAGACCATGCCAGAAATAGCAATAAATAAGGCCTTTTTTTCAGTGCGTTTTATGGCTGAAATGTCCATCTCAAGGCCGACTAAGAAAAGGAGATAAATTAAGCCTATGTTGGCCATTGTTTCTACTATCAACACACTGCTTAGAGGGAATATCACTTTTCCGAATGTCTCATTTTGTCCAAGAAACGATGGACCTAATAGCAATCCACCCTGCAGTTTCAAAATCATGAAAAGATCATTTGCATGTGTCTGCTGAGAGGAACTATGAAATATAAATATACAGAAAACATACCAAGATTTCTGCAACAACACGAGGTTGGCGAAAAGGTTTGAGGAGGAAGAGGAAGAGACGAGTGGCAGCAATAACTAGAATTAATTGGACGACGAAGAGAGGGAGGGTGTAGTTCAAAGGATTATCTCCTCTCCAAACACTATATGTTGTGATCATTGCCGGTAGATAGCAAACTATTGCATCATCCGACGCATTTTCTCCTGATATTGTTTCATTCATCCTGTTCATCATCATCTTCTTCTTCTTGATCGATCTTTATTAAATTATATTTCTTCAAAATCCTTCAACTTGTTCTTCAGATTGCGCTTCTCATTACAATTTTACCTCGCTCCCCTCTACGTACCTATCATAATTTCTTCGCGATGCAGTTGCAATTACCGTCGCCATTGCCAACTGCAATTTAAGGTTTTTGTCATAAAATAACTAAGTTCTTGGTTGTCGTCCTTGTCATTATCCTGCTCCTCATCACCATCTTGAAGAAGGGTTGAAGCTAGGGTTTCGTTTGCTCGTGCCTTGTTGGAATGACGAACAAAGACAAGCGAGACAGGTTGGATTCCAAAAAGGAGATATGGCTTACCTGCCATGATTATTGTACAGAGAGAGAGGGACAAAGTTTTGCTATTTTTATAATAAAAAACTCATTTATATTATTGATAAATAGTTCATAATTGGTTGCCAAACACCTCATTACAATTACTGATTCAACTTTAGCGTAGGCAAGGCATGACGATGAACACAAGGGAATATACATATATATATATATATATATATATATATCATGTATGCCAATAAGGGTAAATGACAAATGAGTGACATTAATAGTGAAAATAATGACATTTAATAATCTCCAATACAATAAATAACAATGAAGGACCTTATGCTTAAAACACAGTAGAAGCCAAAAGTTTAATTAGCAAGAATCACGAGTTGAGTTGCAAATATAATTAAGGTTCCACTTGGTTTTCATCTAAACTTTTAGATATGAAACCCAACTAATATAAACATTCGAAAATGAGATTTCTTATATAATTTGCAATTGAGTTTTTGCCATTTATATAGAACTAAGCTTTTGATTTTTAGAAGTCGCTATATATGATGTCTCCTTTTTTTTTTTTTGGCCATACGCTATATATATGTCTCCAATTAATTAATACGAACATTAAGCATATACTTTTCTTTTATAAAAAGAAAATTATTATAGGATTTTGGTTCTTAATTGTCTTTTATTGAATAACGGATTCTTGTTAGAAAATGTTTAAGAACCTTATAAAAAAATTAATTTGAAATAAGAACTTTTAAGTTGTGAACATAAAATTTGAGTTATAAATTTTAAAGTTTCAGTAAAGAGGCTCTCAGCTAATTAATTGTCATTCCTAATTAGCATTATATTCCAACTATGTATAAAAAATCAATAAACTTATTTTATGAAACATTTTAGTTGAGATTAATTTTTAATAATTTAAATTTATTTTAATTTGTCATTTAATATTTTGACAATAAATTACCATTAAGTCTAATTAAATTAAATTTAATGATTGGGATGCCAAGGAATGAAAAATCTTGAACTATTTAGCCAGTAGAAGTGGGCAAGGAGAGAAGAGACCTCCATCGTTTTGAAATAGACAAGAAACACATGAAAAGAAAAAAGAAAGGTAGACAGAGAAAGAACAATCAAAATCGAAAAGTAGATAACAATTGAAGGGAAAAGACGAATGAGCGTCCGGTGTAATGTACAGAGAAAGGGGGCCGTGTTAGCAAATAATTGAAAAGTAGGCATTCGATTATTATTAGTATTAGGTTAAATTTAGAAAAATGGCCTTGTGCAGTTTGAGAGTGCTCAACTTGAGAACTCATTACTGCAGCGGCGAGGCCAAATTCAAAAGACCTATCAATTTCTCTCGTTTCGCAGTAAGGTTCAGTTCTTCTCCTTCACAAGGGGTTATTGCATCTTCGATGGCTTACGAGAAGGAGCTCGCCGCTGCTAAGAAAGCAGCCACTCTTGCTGCTCGCCTCTGCCAGGCATTCTTCCATTCTCTTCCTCATTCATAATTTCTGTTCATCATTCGAATTAAAACTGGGGATCGAAACTTGGGAGCCCACCCAAAAAGAAATTGGAAATTTGGATGCTTTAATGGCAATTTTGAACATGATTGAGAATCTGAAATCATTTTCGCTTAAAATTGCTTAATTTAGATGTAATTTTACACTTTGGATTCTTAGATTGAATGTGAAAGTGGCGATATAGTAATTGAAACTGGTTCTGCTTGATATGATCCTCAATATCTGCTAGTTAGTTAGTGAAGGGATAGGTTAAGAGTGGGTCAAACTGGCAGCATATTGATACGGATGGGAGACAGCCGGTAAAACAATCTAAATTCATAATGAGATTGATTTGAAGTATTGAAGTTCTTTTCTTTCTCAGTATCCCTTCTCCTCTCTTTCTCTCTGTCTCTCTCTTGCTGTTCTCATTGCTACTTTTGATGGTTTTGTCCAGAAAGTGCAAAAGGCTCTGCTGCAATCTGATGTCCATTCGAAATCAGATAAGAGTCCCGTTACCGTGGCTGATTATGGTAAGTTGAATTACGTATATCGTACTGCTGTCTAACCATAACCTTTAATATTGATCCTAAAATGAATTTTTTCCTTATAATCGTTTATGTGGCTGAGCTAATCTAATATAATACAAAAATTTCAACAAACCGCATTATTCATAAGCCAAGAATAGGGAAGCTTATTTTTCGAACTCTTTGTAGCTGTTTGCCATTTTGATTGCTTGTGACCTGCTACACTCTTTCCATCAATGAATTATAGCAAATTTCAAATTTACTTTTTATTTTTCAGGGTCACAAGCCTTGGTTAGCTTTGTACTTGAGAGAGAACTTCCTGCTGAACCATTTTCACTAGTAGCTGAGGAGGTGAATTTCTAAGCTCTCCTTGAACATGGAGATTCTTCTTTTTCTATTCTTGAATATGAAATTCAGTCTTAAAATCTAGGATTCTGGGGATCTTCGAGAGGAGAGTGGTCAAGAAACACTGAAGCGCATTACAGAACTTGTGAATGATACTTTAGCAAGTGAAGGATTAGATGGTTTTTCTACTTTAACAGCAGAAGATATTACTAGAGCCATTGACAATGGTAAGTCTGAAGGAGGTTCTAATGGTCGGCACTGGGTTTTGGACCCCATAGATGGCACTAAAGGGTAAGTATCCTCAAAACTAAATTGAGGTGAACACTTTCTTTCTTGTTGCTGTTCTGTAATGCCATTTTATTTAATTTTCACGGTTACAGTTCTGTTATTGTGCTTATGACCACCAAGTAGCTCATGCTTGTATGATGACATTGTAGGTTTCTTCGGGGAGACCAATATGCTATAGCATTAGCTTTGTTGCATGAAGGGAAAGTTGTATTGGGAGTCTTGGCTTGTCCAAATCTTCCGCTGGCGTCTATTGGTAATAATCAGCAGCATTCTGGTAATGAAGTTGGTTGTCTTTTCTTTGCCACAGTTGGCGAGGGTGCATATATGCAGACTCTGGATGGTTCCTCAAAAACTAGGGTTCGTGCTTATAGAATGATACTATTGACATGTCATTAATTATGGTGCTGAGATTAAGTATCTTGCTATCATTATCCAGGTGCATGTCAGTGCAACTGAGAATCCAGAAGAAGCGTCATTTTTTGAATCTGTTGAAGCTGCACACTCCTCTCATGACTTGTCAAAGTCTATTGCGGAAGTAATGTCGTTCATATAATCTACCATGCCCTTTTTTCCCCTTCTATCAGCCGTTATCTTCTGATATTCCTACAATGCCATGATTAATTCATGAACAGAAACTTGGCGTCAAGGTGCCACCAGTTAGAATTGACAGCCAAGCAAAATATGGAGCACTGTCAAGAGGAGATGGGACTATATATTTGCGTTTTCCTCACAAGGGATACCGTGAAAAGATATGGGATCATGCTGCTGGCTGCATTGTTGTGACTGGTGTGTAAATTTTATAATCCTTTCCTTTCATCTTATAGTCGTCCTTAGTTCGTCTGTGCGCGTGTGCTCTCCATAAGGTAGAAATTTGAGTCATTCAATCATCCCTAGATCAGGCCAAAAAAATAAAATAAAATAAAATTGAAGAAATAATGTCTAGAAGGTTGAATGTGTTGGTCAGTATGTTGCTACATCCAGTTTCCTGAATATGTTCCTCATAAGACTTGAGCCTTACGATAACTGGAATTATTTAGTACTTAGGCTTCAAAAAGTAACATGCTCGTTTGATATTAACTCTCTTGCCATCTTCGGATTGCCTGACAAAATGATTAGCATGCCTCGAATTTATTATATTCATATGCTAACTTGGCCAGTTACAAATGGTTGGAGGCTAAAGTTGAAAGTGTCATAACAATCTAGGACCAAGTTGTTAATTTAATTCAGTCTATTCAAAAGGTTTGATGGTTGATCCTGCGTATATTATTTCGCGTGTGCATGATTAATTTGACTATTGAACATGTGTAGAGGCTGGAGGTATTGCCACGGATGCTGCAGGAAATCCTCTGGACTTTTCAAAAGGAAGGTATCTCGATGTTGCCTCCGGCATTATTGTCACAAACCAGAAACTGATGCCCCAGCTTCTCAGAGCAGTGAAAGAATCCCTCAACGAGAAAGCATTATCCCTGTAATTTCCATTAATAAAGGATGATTCTATTTCTGAGCTTGCCGGCTCTGTTGTCATACCCACTCTCTGACAATTTTCAACTCATCTCTCTGCTCCTTTGCAAGGTTGTTGTGAAGCTAAAAATTAGAATGCTTCGATATACCCACCCACCAAAATGGTGATAACTGGTGTGAGCTTTCGGAGCTGGCTCGAGGGGAATTATTATTAATGATGTGTTGATATTGATAAGTGGGTCTCCTCCAAATTACCAGTTTGTCTTCCTTTTACGAATGAGAAATTAGAGGGATACCTAGCTCTTTTGTCAATGTGCATTGCATTTATCTTGCGGATAACTTACCAATGTTCAATTGAAGCCTCCACTGCTTCGCATAAGTTTATCCAAATAATACTTCTTATAGGATCTGATAGTCAATACATTGAGAACTTGGCGAAAGCTTTCTCCGAAAAATAATAGCACAAGAATATGCAATTGAAAAGAAAATACTACTTCCGGTTCTAATTATAAGAACTAATTGATTAATTTGATAAAATTAAGAAAATAAATTAAGTTAGTTATTTGTAATAAATAAGTGTTGTCTTTTTTAAAATATCCTTACTAATTAAGTGTGTTAGCTAAAATTATAATTATTAAAATGACTATTTTGGAAAAAATTATATAAATAAGTGAATTAGAATTTTATATTTAGAACTAAAATGAAAATCAAACGAGATTATATATTAAATTCGAGAGGTAGTAGCATTAAAGAATATGTGTTGGCATTATAACTACGGAAGCTCTAGAAATTTCAGATGCTGAATGGTCTATTAATTTTGAGGGCACTTTCTTAGTTTTCTTTTTCAATTTGACTTGCTTGGAAGCAATGCTCAATGCAAATGTGCCGAGATTCCTCTGAACATAATATTCCAAAACAAGTTTTTCTTGTTCCGGAAGTCCTCGAAAATCATTTAATTTTCCAGAAAACGGAATATGTTGAGTACATAGAATCAGGTCAAGAGTTCACCGATGAAAATAGAGTCAGAAAATACATGAAACAAAACAGGCAGTTGAAAAATCACAAAATGCTGAAACAGATATTATACTTGTAAAGAAGCGATATCGATTAAAGCATCTTTATTTCAGAACTATAAATTTCACTGTTGTACATGATAAAATATAAGGAAAGTGCGAAAATACCGCCCCACTGAATAATCGTCAACTTACAGTTCCACCTCACACGCCTGGAACTCATTTTAGATACAAAGACTCTTCACATGGCCTTACTTGACATGAGAGGCTTAGGAGGCGATAATGATCTAACTTCAGGTGCAGAACTGGGGAAAAGTATGTTCAGTTTGTGCAACAGGATATCAGCCCTTGATGGAATCTCGTTCAGAAGAAACTGCTGAACAATCGGTTTCTTAAACCACTCCATAACTGAGTCTCCTGGGGCTCTCAGAACCACTTTACTGACCTCAAATGGAGACTCCACTGAGCTCAACATCTGCGCCACCACGATCTTTAAAGTTGGTCCTGTCACTAATTTTATACGTCTAGGAACAATACCATAATATAGCATGCGCTTTCTGAATCTATGAAGAGTGTGCACCACCGCCACAAGAGCAGCACCAACTGACAAGTTTCTAACATCAAGGGACCATGCAATGTGCTGATCAAAAACTATAGCCTTTGGGAATAGTTTATTCTCATATGCAACCTTCCAAACACATCGAGCTCGATTTATCTGCCCCATAAGAACTAGGTAATTGAGAAGAACATTGACAAAGTACCTTGCAGCACCTTCCTCCAATTCATAATCAATACCTTGAAAGAATTCCCTCACAAAAGATAACACTGGCTGTTTCCTTTGTTCAGGGCCTGTGAAGAGTCCGCACATAAATGCATGTGCCTTATGTTTAGTTGTGCTAAGGATGGACATCAAATGCCGCTCACTCTGTTCTTCTTGACACCTTACAAGGTGGGCTAAAATGGACGTGTAAAGTACCAAATCAACTTTCGCAGCAGAGTTAACATAAGTTTCAAGAAGAGGCTTGGCAGACTCATATAAGCCATTTTTCATGCAAGACTCAAACAACTGCCTAATTATAAAATTATTCGTTCTAATCCCTGATGAACCCATGAAACGCAGCCATCTCAAAGCAACATCAGCTGAACCTTCCTTAATATAAACCATCAAAACATCACTAGCTGTCACATCAACAGAATATCCCATGGCCTTCATCTCAAGTAAGATTTTGGCAGCCACATCCACCAGCTTCTTATTCGCCAGTAGGGTCAAGAGAGCAGTATAAGTGCTCAGACCTGGCCTCAGACCCGCATCAGTCATTGAATTGTACAGCTTCATGGCATGATCTACTTGTCCAGATGAAGCATGCATTTCTAAGAGACAAGAATAAGTAGATGGAGTGGGTAGAAATCCAGCCTTTTCCATATCTGAAAAGGCAGACATAGCAATGTCAAGCTTCCCTGATTTCGCATGCGCCTCAATAATCATTGTATACAAGCCAAAATTAGGCCTGAATCCTGCATTCTTCATCTCATCCCAAATCCTAAGACCAGTTTCTAGCTTCCCAGACTTCACATAAGATTCAATTAAGGAAACATATACAGTTGGAGGTGGTCTATACCTAAAACTTTGCATCTCCATGTAAACCTTCATTGCACCATCCAATCTCCCAGCTTTCCCCATTGAATCAACAAGAGAAGCAAAGACATTTAAACCTGGCCGAAAATTTCTTTCTTTCATTTCTTGGAAAAGCTTGAAAGCAGCATCAAGACGACCTGATTTTGCCAAGTTTGGGATCATCAGCTCATAAGTCGCTCCATCCAATGAGCAATTGGCTGATGCCATGCTCTCATATATCTCAAACGCTTTATAAGGCAACCCCTTATTCAGAAAGAGCGTGATGAGGGAATTATATGTCTCGGTATCAATTTTATAACCCATGTCTTTCATTTTCTTAAAGCAACAAAATGAGACCTCCAATTTCTCAGCTTTAGCCAAGTGCTGAATTACCCGATTATAAGCCCCAAATGTAGAGACTCTGCTATTACTACAATCACTAACCATTTCATCAAATAATGACTGAATCCCATCAAAATCTCTACGTTGGTTCAAACCATCAAACAGAAGAACATAACATGCATCATTAGGTGAATACCAAGATTGCCGCCTAGCCCATCTAAACAAACTTAAACATGCATCACTATCACCGATAATCTTTAAAGCTTGGGTAATGTGAGTCATGTTCGGTGTAAACTGAAGCTTGTCCAACTGATTCTCCAACTCTGGTCCCCATTTCCACCTCTTAATAACCTCAACTAGTTTTGCCACTGCTACGGCATTTGCAAAGGGCTTCTTAACCTCCCCAATCATTACATGGTCATCAAGCCCTGGCTCCACCGACCTTACTCCTTTACCCTGGTAAATAACATTACCTGACTCATCTAAATAATCTATCTCCTCGGTCCACTCCCCAGGCCCATGGTCACCGTTCCTCCCATGACAGTAATTTCTATTGAAAAAATGCAGTCCCACTAGATTAAAATCTCTACAAGTAGCAGGGTTTCTCCAAAAGCCATTGTTGTTTTGAGCATAAAATCCGGGAACAATCAGTATGAATCTCGTTGAGGAGCTGAAAAGCCTTAGCCTTTCTGAACTAACAGGATTAAAGGGAGAGGAAAAACGAAGGCTTTTGGTAAGTTTATGGAAATTCCCAGAAACTAAATTCCAACGATAGATCATTGAATATTTATAAAGACAGTGACAAGAAGGCTAGTAGGAATCAGGGCAATACCTAGCGATGATAGTGTAGAGACGTTAACAATGTAACTAACTCAGCTGTAAAAAGGAAGTTTACCTACCTTGCAACACGGATTGGATGTAAGGATCAATTAACCTGATTTTGTCTTTTCTTCTCCGTTTTCTTCTTATCACACAAAATGAGATATTGTGAGCTAAAATCTATGAGTAGTGATGAAAATCACCTCCTAGTACTTCGTCGCTCTTCAAGCTCCCTTAAATCATGAAACGTCGCTTGGGGTTTTCACGAGAAGAAGACATCCCTCTTCGCTTCCCTTCTCTGTTTACTGTTCCCAATCCCCCTGCCGTTTTCCCCTCAGAACGCCCAAAAAAAAAAACTCACTTTTTTATTCCATCTCTGGGCCTTTGCACATGAATGTACTAATTATGGATACGATGCCGGAACAAGACCAGCGTCGGTCGGTTCTATAAATGGTGGCAGCGGGCGAGGACGTAACGAGCGATTATAATCCTTTCTTTCTGGGTGGCCGTCATTAGCAGAGTCACAGTCCAGTTACGCGGGCTTACTCCGTTCTCAACCAGACGAAGGAGATATGGATTTAATTCAGGCGGGTAAGGGCTTTGGCTGGACTTTGTCACTGTGTTCTCTCCTGGTCCGCTCGGAGGCGAAGACTGGCACAGCTCAAGTTATCAGCCCAATCAATTGCGTGCAAGAAACCCTAGGGAGAAAAAATCCGATGAGGGATGGGCAACTTGCCGTAAGCCTAAAAAGTTGAGTTTGTAATATTAAATAGTCATAAAATTATTAGAAACGTAATTTGATTTTTTAATAAAATTTTTATTCAAAAAATATATCAGGTAAAAAATTAACAGAAGAATAAATATAACATAATTTAAAGTATAAAAATATTTATAAAAGTAATATAATATGTAACTATTGTTAAGATTCAAAATTATATTTTGAGAATGAGAATCAGAGTTTTGAGAATAAATTATTAGCGATTGCTTTTAGAATTAAGATAAGAAATTGCAATACACACACACACACATTTATTTAGCGATCAATTTAAGAAGAAATTATGTCCATCAAATATTTGGCTGATTAAATTTTCAAGAGAGGTGGACAAAAAATTTAAAAATAAAAGAATAATATTACATGTATTGAAATTTGTAACGTTAGCTGCTAATACTAAATCGTTTCATTCTAAGTAAGTTGTAATTTTCACAAAACTGGCTATAAATCACGAACAATTATGTTGTAAATTTCACATGATTAGTTATATAAATGATTAATAATAATAATAATATATGATGTAAAATTAAGTTCTAAGCTAACTTATCTTCCACTCTTCCATTATTTAGAATCCAATTAATACTATAAGTCAGTGAAATTTACAAGTCCATTTCGTACCATTGATGATGAAAATTTTTGGGAATTGGCATAATTTACACCTCAATTATTAGGTTATAATTAAATTTCAGGAGATAGATGTGTTCCAATAATAGTCAGAATAGTAAGGTAGAGATAGTTAGTTTTTCAAAACTTATACTCAAATATTCTAAAAAATTACTATACAAAGTTGGTTTAGGAAGATAAAAATAGAGAATAGAATTAAACTCTTAATTTAAGTTATAT